CCCCCCCCCCCCCCTCACACTTGCTATAAATGAACACATTAAAATGACTTGTGGCTTTCACATTATGTACACTTATCCAAAATTCATTCATAAGTCAGACCATTTTGAGACAGACAGTATTAATCAAAGTTGTGTCTCTGTAAAATAAAATCTGTTATCTGATAAAAATGATATTTTATACAGTTATGCACTAATTAATGAAAGAATAAGAGAATATTGTCAAACTTGTTGCTTGAATTCTGATCAAAACTTTAAGTTTTGGGCTCTCAGAAAGCTTAAATTGATGGGATTTTTCACTGGTGATAGACACGAACCAATTATCTGATATTACTAAGAATCAAGATACATGTAGTTGTGCAAGTTTAAATCTCCATTTTCAAGCACTTACAGTTTGTAAAAATTCTTCTTCTTAATTGTTTTTTGTGACCAGTACATTTTACTTTTCTGATCAGAATATAAAAAAATACATTTCCCTAAAATTTTAGGCTAAGATTCGCACAGATTAATTTTATGATCAGTTGTAAAATATTTATTTCAAAAGTTCCCTGAATGTACGTCTTGGTACATTGTTTACAGATGACATCAAAATAAGGCTATTGGCAGGTATCAGAATGAATTTTACAGTTTTTAACCTGTTTATTGTGTGATCTGAAAATAATCAGTATAACTAAATAAGGATTATGTATGACAGAAATAAGAGAAAAACAAATGTAACAATTTTGATACCTCAAAGGTGATAAAAAACCTCATTTAATTTGCAAATTAAATGCAAAATATTTTGAAAGCAGAAGAGAATATTTTTATCTACACAGTCCATTTATTATTAAAAAGCAATTTACACCATCAATTAGCACCGGCTAATTAATTATTGATACCTTTTAGCCAACAAAATCTTTGTGGAAGTACAATTTTCAAAATTTCTCACCGCTGATTAGTATAACTTCTAAAAAGGTTTTTCTTTGTTCAGTTGTCTGGAACCCTTTCATGAGGTTTAAATTTCTAGGATCAGCTTGCCTTTAACGTCGAAAATTCTGTTTTAGCCGTATCGTCTTCGGAATTATTAACGCAAGAAAATTTGAGACGAAAATAATTAACATGAAAGTGAAAACAAACCCGCAGAAAAACCGAACGAGTTATCTTGCAGATAAGCTAATTCACAAAATTCGCTTCTCTTCGATAAACTTTAAGACAGATTACATTTTCTCCATCAACTTTACAAAGAAGATGTACACCAAAAAAAAATATCCAATGTAATGTTTCAAAGCCATTAGGGCAAAGAGGATAATCTTTCACGTGAACATGGATCCACATTTTGCGGCCGCTGTCTGACCCCTTGTAGTATCGTAATGATGTGAGCTTGTCTAAGTCGCCTTACCTCGAGCATTTTTTCGTCCGTTTTCCACGATGTATCGGCCTCGGGATCTTTTTCATTGCTGGAGTAATAGAAGAGGACGACCATCATCCGGCTTGCTTTCAGAGTCTTGTTGAAGTGTTCTTTGGTGAGCTTCGCGACGCGTCGAATTCCATCATCTTTGAGATAGGGAGGAAGTTTATCTTCTTCCCTCTGTACCTCGTCAAATTCTTCATCCAGAGGGTAAACACCGCGAAAGTAAACAGCACAATGGACTAAGAGAAGGAAAACCTTCATTGCAAATCGCTCGACAGACGAAGTCCCATGCAAACAAGTCAATCGGTGTTGCTGTTTCTATAGGTATGCACACTACCACTCGCTGGGGAATCGACTCGACTCTAGGGCTCCCCAGTGAGGTGATAGCTGGCACGCAGGGTGTCACTAGTCTAATCATTTCCGGTCATAACACAAACTTCCGGCATACTTTTCAATTCAAGTGCAGGGATATCTTCGTCGTCTCCTGTCTTGTGCCCTCAAAAGACAACAAAATAACCTGGCTAAAACCTGGTGTACTGACGTAATCGGGGTTGCCCCGGGGTGAGGTTTCCGTCTCCTTTGTATGTGATATGGAGTGTCACAAGTGTCACACAACTTCTCTCAATTGCGTTACATGTACGTGACTTACCAGTAACACATTCTCTAAAAAGCAAACTCAGATTTACATGCAAAATTTAAACGCTGTTTTGGACTAAAAGAGCGCACAGAGCTGTGCACTTTTGCTAATTCAGATCGATCAAGTAAACATGACAAATACCCTTGAAAAGTGTGGAAGAAAAAAAAAAGAGAACTTCTATTGGCTACAATGAACCAAAGACTTAAATTCCCATTTTCTCAGTGTTTTTTTTTCGGTTTAGAGACATAAGTTTGCGAAAAGTAGAGAAAAGAGGGAGGGAAAAAAAAGAATATTTAAAGGGGGCCACCAAGAAGATGAACACGGGGGAACACGGGGGAACCACATGGGGTACGTGGTGAGCCCACGGTAACGTGACGTCATTCAAACACCAAAAGATTTGCAAATTCAGCGATGGCGGACAATTTGCTGGCCGAACAAACAAAGAAAATATCCTCAATAACCCGTGCCATGACCTCTCCACCACACGAAAATCACGAACTGTAGAAAATGACGACTTGGTACACATCTGCTGCAAACCCCTCAGGTAATCTATACAAAGGAACGTCGGTGAATTGCGATTTTTTTCGATATTGGTTTTCTCACACCCAGAAACCAGAAGACGTTTCATGGCTTTAGTTCGTATTGGATTTCCGTTTCTTACATGCCTTGTACAGCTTTTAATTCTCCCTTTTTTAGAGTATTCGAAACGAAATTTCTCGTTCACAAGTTTGTCCTATTCTATTGATGTTATATTTTCCTTTTTTGGTCCAATTTTAGCGACAAACGGTTTGGCCATGTCGCCTTCAGATGAAAAGAGTCTTCCCTATACGCAACAGCTGAGCGCAAGGTGAGGAAGCTATTTCTACACTTCGAATTCCTTTAATTAAGCTAACTGTTGCCATTTTAATAAGATCCGTGGTTTTCAACTAAGACGTTTAAGTCGAGTACCAGTCAATCGATCATACGTATAAAAAATTCACAAATGGGCTGAAGTTGTTTATTTTATCTAGAAACTTTCGTCTGGAATTGCCCGTTTCCCAGACGACAGACGGCTGTGTAAAACTGAAATGTCAAAACACTATTTTTGTTTGCTTTAAGCGGCTTACATTTAGTCCCACTTACGAAATGTCGTCGCCTTAACCATATTAAGCAACAACAACTGGAATACGATCAATATAGCTTTGAAATTCTTAGTTTGAGTAAAGGTAAGCTTGATTAATTGAAACTTTTTGAGGTTAATATTGGCCAAAAAATATATTCCATCCGCTCTATAATATCATATGGATATAAGCTTATAAGGTTCTGACAGTTAGAACCAGACTCTACAGATAACCGCATGCTTATTTTAACATACCTTGTAAATCAAGTTTGATTGTTTAATTGAATTGGATATTTTTTTTTGTATTAGGCTTGATAGAACATAAAATAACATGTTGTGAAATCTTTCATCAGAAATGCCTTCCTGTAACTGAAAAATGTACGCAAACCCAGTCTCATTAGAGTCTTTGATCACTGAGTTGTCTATCAAACCAGATTTCTATATCATGCATTTAGTTATGACATAAATGAAAAAACATATATGCATATGGAAATGTTTGACAGGGCTCAAAATTGTGGTTGGATATTTGGGGGAGAAATTTCCAGAAACGAAATGCATCATATTTCCAAACTGTCGTTTCTTTTTTATTAAATTTTCGTGAACTACCTTGGCCATAACTGTTTGTATTTGGCAATTGTAAGCCCATATATGTTAGCCCATATATATATATATATATCAGCCTTACCTGATTACTCTTTAATGAGATAGAATTGAAATACATCTCAAAAAGATATTACTCGATGACCATTGTGTACGCTTTGACATGCCACACCATTTTCCCTGAAAATGGGTGTCTTTGAAAAAACTCCATATACCATAAGCTTTTTCACTTAAACTATGAACATGTACATTTTCTGAAAGGTCATAAAAGTGTCTCTTCAACCTGTTTAATTTCACTGAAGTTGACATAATTTGATATCCATATGACATCACAGCAATGGGAAATTAGAAGTCTGTTGAAAAACCTCTTATGAATCTTGGCTGCTGACAAAAGTTGTTATGAGTGTGCCCAGAGTTTGAGTAAATTTTGACGCACCCAGTACATCATATAGGCACCTGAGGGGCAAAATTCATGAAATTCTGAGTATGTGATATAGCCACTCAAGGGGTTAATAAGATAGAATTCAATGTTCCTTGTAGCACTTTCATCTTGCAGGATTTAATTTTTGCGGATTATGCGGATGGTACTTGATCCACAAGAATAAGTTCCAGTAGAACAAAAAAACATCACCAAAATTAAGAACCACAAAAATTTACTCCCACTGATATAATCAAAAATGGCTTTTAATTCACTTGAGTTACTATATATCGTACATTGGGGTAAGAAAGAATGTTTATTTTGATATTTGCATTGAGAAAAAGCAATCAGAACTTCACCTTCCTAAGTAATAATTAGCTACAATATTGTTATTGTTGTTTGTTATTTTAGCCGTATGATGTTATTCTAACTAAGGCCCCGTCTACACTATGCTAGAGAAATTTGAAAACGACATTTTCACTCTGAAAACGTTTCAAATGTTTTCCATCCACACCATATTCATGGAAAGAATTTGAAGATGTATTGCAGGTCAGTTTGGATTTGTTTTTGCAGAAAACTAAGGGAAATCATATGAATACATTTATCATCATTTTCAAAAAGCGCCATTTTCAAAATGTTTTCCACGCACACTAAAACACAAAGCCACCATTTTCAAATTTGTCCAGTTTGAAGAGCATTTTGGAAAAGCTCTGTTTTCATGACAGATTAGCGTACGGATGGTAGGCCTCACTGTAGAAATCAAGCTGCATATTAAAAATTCTCCTACATAGTGGGGACAGTGTGAGGCCTTATACTTGCATGTCACATTGTCTGTTATTTTTTAGCCACAATTCTAGAATGATGAAGCTGCCCTTAGGCTCCAGTGGAACAGCAAGACGAAGTGTTAGTTTGGAAAAGACTTCACCAGTGGAAAGCAAGGTATTCTCCTGTACATTAATTATTATTACTAGTAGTAATCAGAGATTATGAGAGTGCGTTCGACGCTCTCACTTAAATATATATATACTGTAAATAAATGATTTCACTAGCTGACTTTCAACCTTTGTTTATTGCTAAAATCAACATTTTTCAGCAGCAACCAAGGTTTTACAGTCAGACACATGTATGCATAGTGTCAAAGTCCATGCTAGTGAAGAGGTCACGATTTGTTGATACGTTGCGTGACGCTGCCAGTTTCAAGTTTCATATTACGTACATTATCCTAAGCTAGCATTTGCAATCACGTGCTCATCTCGCGTGGTCGTTTATCGTAAACAAACTCCGCGCAACTTATTCGAGTATTTCCCCTGATGAATAAAGTAGTCTTATGGATCTTGCCTTCAGAATACTTTTCCACTGATTCCAAACAGTAAAATTTTGACCGGATAAAGACTGAGCTATCTGTCGTGACTGGAACTAATCAACAAATGCAATCAAAATGTAGCTGCTCCCACGGCTATCATCCCAAAGCCAAGTCGTGTTAATAAACGAGGACAATTCCCTTAGATTTTGATAAATGCTATGGTCGAAGCGTTTAAATTCACCAAAATCTAATGCTGAGAGCACATAATAGCGAAGCGTACGGCAACTGAATGGAAAGAAGTCAAAGAAAGATCCATCAGAAAGACGAGCTCACATGGCCTGCTCACATACTCACATGTTCGCCACATGTCTTATCACATGTCTTAGCATTAAACAGTACCAGTTTACTGGCCGTGACATGCCCCTGCAAAAATCAAGCGGGGTGGCCGTTTTGGTGTCCTTACAGGAATGTGTTTTTTTCGGCCTATAACTGTGCACAGGGAGACCAACTCTGGAAAGCCGCAGATCAAAATTAGGTTTGCGTTCCACTTCGTCGAACGCAATTAGATTATGAACTATTAGGTAATAGTTGATTTAGCCTCTGGCCTCATCAGCTCTCGCCTCATAGAAATCACATCTACAAAAATGGTGCTTGAGAGATTCACCTGAAATTTTGCAAAAAGTGTAGAGGGGTGAATCAGTCATTTTCATTTTGTATAAAGGTATGTTATTAACTAGTACTGTAACTTTATATATGTTGTTAACTAGTAACTTATACTGAAAAGCTCATGACAACATGGAGACTGTGAGTCTGAAAAAGGAAAAACAATAAGTTATTTGCTGGCTGTTGTCAGTCTGTATCATGAAAAACAGTGACTAAGGTCTTGAAAATGCTGCCAGAGGCTGCAAGCCAAGGGCAGCATTTTCAAGTCTGTGGTCACTGTTTTTCATGATACAGACTGACAAAGGCCAGCAAATAACTTTTTTTTTTTTCCTTTTTCTCGCAAACCACTTTAAATTTATAATTTTTGACCTTTTCCACACACACATGACACAAGTGAACACGACTATGGGCAGAGATAGGAAAATCCACCATGCTAAGAACCAATCAGAATGCAGGGTTCGTTACCATGCCCTCTTGGAAAACATAAAATTTATTGTACTCCAGTTTTAGTTGTGTGACATGGTATGACTTGCTTCGCAAGAAATGTTTAGGTCAATCACACACAAGGAAAGCTAATATGATAGATTGTGAAATTGATAGAATGTGCAATTGTTATGTGCCATTGTAGGGGGACTACATGCATGGGGAAACTGCTGGTTGGACTGGCACCTACAGGAAACTCATCAGGTATTGCTTACACATCTCTTATTTTGAAACCCTGCTAAATATAGCCTGTGAACAAAGACGTATTTCTGACTGTCGCTTGTCTCCACTGATAATAACATTATTTTCAGCGTAGGCAAGTGACAGCTAGAAATATGTCTGCATTTGCAGGCTACCATAAACTGCCTCTTACATATAAGGCCTGGCCTTATACAACTTTGTGACAGCTTATAGATGGGGTTATAAATAGAGGGGCTTATATCCGAGATAGCCTATACCCGGAATGAAAAACCATTTTGAAATGAGCCATAGCTGTATTGGTCAAAATAGGTTTTTCATTTACTAGTTTTAATAAGTTATAAAATCATCATATTAAAAAGAATCCAAAACAAGGAAAGCTAGAGGGGGAGGAGGCTTATATCCAGGGGCTCATAACCGGGTGTACTTTTTAGTATGCAGGTAAATGGACCTATAAGTGGGGGTCTTATAAGCGAGGTTGCTTTAATAAGCGGCAGGTTATGGTATGCTAAATACTTATACGTTATTTGCCAGCTGGGAGGTCCATATAGTGAAAAACTGTGACCAAGGTCTTGAAAATGCAGCATTTTCAGGCATGAGGTCACAGTTTTTCACTATACAGACCGACCTAAACCGGCAAATAACATTTTTATTTTTTCCCCATGGTAAATTGGCTTACAAGTTGGTTTGTTTACACAACTTTGTCATTAAATTGGCTTACGTGCCATCTACACACCATCGTAAAAAATCGAACAAGCAAACAAACAAATAGACAAAGAAAGATGTATTAAAGAACAGCTTTATTTCAAACTACTTTGATTACGTTAGTTGCATCTAGTTCACTGGTTAAGTTCTCCAAAACTGTTTTTGGTGGGAAATTTCATGCAAAGTTTCAAGTTGTTCAACAAAAACAATTTTATTGCGAATCACCCGAAATCAGACTTTTTTAGTGTAAATTGAGTAGCAGAATTTGAAGAAATTCGTTAAGTGTGTTCCACAGAAATTCTCACAAATACAGCAACAATCAGAGAGTTAAACTCGACCACAATCAACTTTTTTTTTTTGCTTAAAATTGTGCGACGAGAGAAATACAGGATTACGCAACATTAAAGCGCCGAGCTAAAAACAACTAAACAAACTCTCGCAACTTCAAAATACTTAATTGAATTTACTTACAGTGACTTTCCTTGTCATTTTAGAGTGAACAGAGATAAACTTGCATTGATTGATCGTCGATGGAAGTGTAAAAAGAGCAAAGGTTGACGATTACTGCTAGTTCACTCACGGCAATTTCACCTGCACTGTTTCCTGCCGTTATCGTGACTGTGGTCAGAGATAGGAAAATCCGGACCGCGCTAAGAACCAATCAGATTGCAGGATTCATTACCATACCCTCTTGGGAAAAAATGAAATTATGTAATGTTATATTTACAGGATTTGAATTAATGATGTGACGGTCTAGAGGTTCTTCAAGTTACATGTAGTTGACCAAGATGCAACCTGAAAAAAACTTTTTTCTTAGTCACTCCAATAGTGAGAAATTTATGCTTCCTTGAAAGTAAACTTCCAAGGCCTGGCAGATTCTATAAAGAAGAGAGTATGTATATTCTTGATATTTTTTTCCATAATTAGACTGCATGGTGGAAATTCTCGTTTTCCAAGAGTGGAGGACATGCCACACTTTCACTATGACATTGTTGATCTTGGTGAATCAGTGAAGGTAAGTTGTTCAATATCCCCTAGTTTGAAAAAGTATACCAACTTATCCAACTCTCCTCCCCCAGTCTAAGATCAAAGCTTCTTCTGACACTCAGGTGGTTAGGTAAAGGCAAGTTCACTGATCTATAGCTATGTTTATATGGGTTATAGACCAGCAATTGAGGCTTATTTGGTCAAGATGGCTGAGTCAATGTCCATGAACACACAAAAAAACAATGAGGCCAACATCCAGTCATCTTGACCAAACAAGCTTGGTCAATAAACAATTTATTATATGGCTTTCGGGGAATTTTTTATTGCAGGACACAGGGAGTAATCCCTGATGGGCATGATAGTGCCATCTTGCCTGCTTGGGTAGCCAATCTCAGCGTAGGATTCAGTTCATCTTGCCCGCTCATGGAGCTAGCCATCTAATAAATTGGAGTATTGTGGATCATGCTTTGAATCCTTCCCAGGGCAAAAAAAAAATTCCCGCGAGTGGTCTCCCACCTTACAGTGTATATGGCCAACGCTCATAAAGAAATACTGACTGAGGCTTATTTTTTGTGTTTCATTTTTTCACAAAAGTCCAAGAGTTTGTTCTCTACTTTCCAGAAGTACAACTTTTTCTTTATCTTTTTCTCAGATTAGTCTGTACACAGGCAATGGTGGAGATAAGCGATACCATAACGGCCTTGAAGAGGAAGGGGCACTGCTGGTAAGTGAAGGGATTGTTAAAGTCAATGTGGGGGGAGAGGGAGGAAGCGAAAGGGAGGGGAGGGTTGTGGAGTTGGGATTTTAAAGAATACACATTAGACCATTTTCTTATTCTCGGTATAGGACTGGAACTAGCATGCAACTGAGGCTAATGCGGGGAGTGTTTTCAAATACAAATGACATTGATCTCTTTCTTATGACATTTCCCCGCATGAACCTCCATTGCAAGCTAGCTCCAGTCTAGTACCGAGAATACAAATATGGTCTATTGCACTCACCCTGTAGGAACCTGCAATATTCTTTAGTCTTTGAAAGTAACTTGTGCTTACTTATTCCAAATTGCACTCAAAATCATTTGATAACCTAGTAAACAAATTACTTTTGACCTGTGAACATTACCTTAACACGCCAACACTGCGTTTTACCAGAGATTTCTTCGAGTTGCTAAGAGCCTGGTTCTGAATTTGGTGGTGCTGGTCAGGTGCGCAGCCTTACACGAGCCATCACGCAACAGTTGAGAATCAGAGAAATCAGGAGGAGGCGGCAACTGTCTGCTTTTTGAATAGGTTACGTCACGGACGACCCCCACTTTCGTTTCTTATTAAAATGAAAAAAAAAATTGTTAGTCTGTGCTTCGTTCAGATAAGTGCTTGCTGGGTGTTTGAACTTAAACTTGTTGCTAAAGAGATTCTTTTAAGTCAAAAAAGTTTCGATTTTCAGAAGGGTAAGAATTTGTTGCTCTTTATCTCATCGCTTCGTTAATTTCGGAGCGCAGTAATTAACTTTTTTACTGCGGTCTATATTGAAGTAGATATTAGTCTTTATTATCTTTCGAGACAAGAAGCAATCATCCATAAGGATCCCCTTGTTGAGCGTAATAACCTGGTTGTATTCTTTGTTTTAACTTCGAAAGCTTTCGCGCTTGACTGTGAATTCAATATCGTTTAATATAATATATACAAGCATCATTTTGTGTTCGCAGCAAGTGTAAAATTTCGTGTTACCACTGGGGAAAAGGGCGCTCGAGGGATATATTGTTTTTCCTTCGTGTTTATATTTCCCTTTGATGGAAATTTAACAGTTTGAGTTTTCAATTCCTGTCGCAGATCAACGTTATCTGTCGTGGAAAGTCGTGGATTTTGACGAGGTCAGTTGATAATTTGCGACTCTTGGATCGCGCCCTTCACAGGTAAATAATTTTCGTTGTTCACTTCAAGTTCATGCAAAGCTTCATGCATTTAGAATGGGTTTATTTTAGCGATAATTACTGTTTATTAGCGCGCTTTAATGCTTATATTCAGCAATAACTTCCTTAAATTCGCTACAAAAGACACCACAATGCGACAGGACCCTTTCGATATACGATTGTCAACGTAAACATTGGCTTAATAAGGTATCTTTACTAGTCTCTGCCGAGCAACAAATTGAAGTTGTATTAGTTCACGAGTTTTAACGATAAAGCTGTAGTGACTTTGTTAGTTTATTTTATATTGAGACTTATATTCGCGATGGCAGAAAATGCGAATGTAATTTTTGCAGTTATATCCTCTTTCGTTGGGACCAGTTCCGCCATAAATGATAGGAAGCAACATTGAACCCACCAAGAGCCGTTTTATTCGTTATGATTCGAAAATTCTAATATGATTTTTAAAATTTCACCCGCTTTGAAATTCAAGAGAGAAATCGGAGTTTGGAAACTAAAATTTATATCTGCGAAATTATTTGCCGGACAGCAATATCGTGTGATTCAGTCATACGTGAAAATTAACGACTTTATTCATTACTGAAGAGTTCGTATTTTCAGTAGTTCTTTCGATGTTCTTCGTTATATTTGTTCTGGTTTTACTAGGGGGGGGGGGGGAACTTGTCAAAAACGAAGGGAGAGAAGAGTGAAGACTTTTACGCAATTCAGAACTTTCATAGATTGTCTTCCGTTATCCTAATCATGAGCAGTTTGTTCCGTTTGATATAAAATCACGAACATTTACACCGAAGTTTAGAAATGCACGGAATTTTATGCGATTAGGTAAATCAAATCAGAGATTTTTGTCGTCCAGTTTGTTTTCCTGAGAAACGAAACTGCCTTTTAAATTGGCTTTGCTCTGTAATTCACTGAGAAATATTAATATTGATCTTAAGTGTTAGACGATGGAAGTGTTTCCCGCGCTTGGTGCCAGTGGCATGTTTTGGCTTTCAGTTCTGATTGGCTGAGCGCGTTATTTACTTTGTTTTGATTGGTCAGTTGTGAATACTGCTGCGTCACTCATAAATCGCCTTATCTGCACGCGATAATCATATGGGATATTAATTTGTTTGTAGTACTTTTCATCAGGCTTCATAGCTCAGTTGGTAGAGCATCGCGCCGGTATCGCGGAGGTCACGGGTTCGAATCCCGTTGAAGCCCTGATTTTTTCAGGCTTCTTCTTTCCAATTGCTTAAATTGGAAAATTTACTGCGACGATCATCCTTCACTTTCAGTGATTATTAAGCGTAGAAAATTTCGCTTTCGTTAAATGTGCGTTTTATGGTCGCAAAACAGATTAATTGAATGAGAAAACAATTCATGCTAGTTAAACCTAGTTTAGTTGACCATTTACAATGAAACGAGAAAACCGGTTGGTCAAAGGTTGATCTAAAATGGAACACAAAAATAGTAATACTGAACATTTCCGTTAAACATTTGCCGTGTTCTCGATTCATCAGAGTTCACTGGGAGCGCCTGGAGCCGAGCTAAGGAGCCGCGCATTTCATTATTAAAAAAAAATGGGCGAAAGACCTGTAGCTGGTAACAAAAGAAGAAGTTCCACATTCTTTGTTTAAATTCTTTGCTGCCATCTGATCTAATCAGATTTTCCGTTTAATCAGGAAATTTTCTTGTCGGGTTCAATTTATTTTCGAATTCTTACGCCCAGTAGGCATTCACATTCCAACGAAAATTCTTAGCATTTGCGACGTAAAGGCAGACCGTTTTTGTTTAAGGTAAGAGAAAAGCGCTGTGGACGCGTTAGTAAGACTTTTTATAATAGAAGTTTGTTGTTGTTGTTGCTTTTTTTGTTGTTGTTTAACCGTTTTCATTTTGTTGTATTGTCACGTAGTCTTTCCTTGGGTAAGAAAGATTGCGTGACACCTCAAAGAACGTCCGTGCTGGGGAGTCATGGTGATACGGATTTTAAGTCACGCTGGTTCCAGAGGTTTCCTGTTTTCTACTTCGAAATAGAAGCTCTGGGATCAGGGTAATTCTAATTAAGAAGGTTTCCAAAAATTACATTAAAATCTGTTTTATTTTTCCTCAGGTGCCTTTTCGACAGAAACCACAGCCAGCTGAGATGCCTTGCTCGTCTTCCTGACACTGACGACTTCATTAAAAGCCAAGTGGGTTTGCTTTTCTCTCTGTTCTGCACCTAAAACATTACACTGTAGTTAGGTAATTCGGTGTCCTTTACTCCTGAGATCCAGTGACTCTGATGATTTTGGTGGTAGCTGGCTTTGAAAGACTTCTGACTCAAGAAAAGTACTTTCTTCCCCATATATTGACACCGTAGTAACATGCCGCTATTTAGAGTGTGGCTTTTGAGAGATCTTGTTCTGCGTGAAAAGCCGTTCTGCGTGACGAGTTCTCCTTCTCTTTGTAGGAATGTCGTCAGCTAGTGCAGGAATACCTGACAAGACTCGCTGAGCTCGCTGATGATGTCATGAACTGTAGTGCCGTCCTTAACTGGCTTGAGGTGAGTACCGAGCTTTGTGATTGGTTAAAAATGGCAGAACGCGAAACCAATCAGACGCAAAACCAACACCAGTCGTGACGTGGCTTACACTAGTTTTCCCGCGCTTAATGCTTGTTGACTGTTTTTCCGCACTGAGTGTTCAATGGTGGCATGTCTACCTATGCTTGGCATTCGTTCGCCCGCTTTCTCAACCTTTGCATTGACCTGTTTTCAGTTTACCCACCCTTAACGTTGATACGTGGTTGCATATTTTCCCGCGCTTTTCACTCGTTGTGTGTTTACTCACGCTTAGCACTGACACGTTTGGACCGTTTCCCCGCGCTTTTACATTGACACGTGGTTGCATGTTTTCCCGCGCTTTGCCCCGTCTGTCCGTTTTCCCGCGCGTAACTGATAGTGTTTGCATGTTTTCTCGCGCATGTTTGCATGTTTTCTCTCGATAGTGTTTGCATGTTTTCACTGGTGCCTGTTTCCCCGCAGTTTACACTGGTATATGGTTTCACTTCTTCTTACAAGCTGTGTGGTGTTTTATGCCTTAAATATTCAAATGTAAACGTCTCAAGGATTATTTTTTCTGCGACAGAAATCGCACTTACTCTTATGACTGCCTTTATGTTTTCTCAGCTTGATAACCATGGAAACCACATGTTACTCACAGACGAGTCTCCAATCAACGTACCTGGAATAGCAGCTGCTCACGTGATCAAACGATACACTGCGCAGGCTGCGGACGAAATCTCTCTCGAGGTATGATAATATTATAATGGTCAGGTAAGAGGTACAGTGATGTCGAGAAGTCCTGGTGCAAGCCCAGGCCAAGCTGTGTTCTTAGGCAAAGCATTGTACTCTCACAGTGACCAGAAACAAGAGTCTTAAAAAGCTCTGGTCTTGTGAGCTACTTGTTTCAAATTTCATTCTAAGAATTTGTGTAAGGTCTGTCTGAACTAACGTGATTCAAGCGTTACTTTGTCAACGGATTTTCTGTCAGCCTTTCGTTGTATACACAAATCGGAAGTGAAAGGAACCAAAACTCATTTTCCCTCGTGTCGTTCTTAGTGTATCATTTAAGGTAATTCCTCTGAAATAAAAGTGACAATAGATATTTGTCCAAACTTTGTCCACTGAATATTTGTCAAATGATAACTTCAATTTTGAAATAAAAAAGGGNGCTAATGACGCCATAAATTATGCGCAGTAAGGATGCGCAATGCAAATGTGAGGAATGACCTTAAATGATTTATGGCGTAACCTCTGTTCAGTCTTCCCTTTGCCTCAATCATTTTTGTCTCTGTTTCTTTGCTATTGCGTCTTGGTGTTTTAATACCTTAACAAACTATTGTCTTAGAGTTTTAATTTGATTTGATGGTAATTTCATGCCTCTTAAATGTGACATCATACTATGTCAGTGACTTACCACTGAGTTTTGACCGATTTCAAGAGCGTGATTAAACGTGGTTTTTATGACGGTAAACACAATTGTTAAATCAATTTGTGACGTTCTGTCCAGTGTCACGGATATCATTTCGTACGTTATTTAAAATTTGATTGAAATGATCTCGTGACGTAGTTCCGCTGGTGACTTAAGTTTGTTCGTTGCCATGGGTGAGTGACTTTGACGGGTTTCCGTCCGGCGTGACGGCTTTGGTCACGTATTACCTCACGAAACGTTCTCTTGTGGGGAAGCTTTAAAACAGTTGCCCGCCGAAAAGAAAACGAATTAGTACGGCACAATATTAATTTAAATGATTTTCTCAAGTGTGCAGTAAGGGAGATAGATGAAACAAAAAGAAAAGAGCATTTTGTGAATGCGTGAATGAAGTGAGTTCAGCCGTTATGAAAGCAAGTGAAATTCTATCCGTTAGGTTTTTACTCAATTCTTACTCAATTCTTACTTAATTTGAAATGAAGTGATCTGGTTGTCACCTTGGGTGATGACATCTCAACAAGTAAACAGGACGTATAATTGAGCATAATTGAAGAACCTAATATTAATGATTGATCCATACATGATTACGATACGTCGAAAGTTCAGACCCGAATTTTTCACCTTAAACGCGTTAACGGAAGTGGGAGGCGTTTGCTTGTCCCTCGCTACGGCAATATCAACTTTTACCAAACTAACGCAGATCGAAACTACGTTTTGGCACTAAACGGTTTGAGTATAGGGATAATCGATTGGTATATTCGTCTAAATGCTTCAATTCAGTTAACAGCATTGTGCATTAAGAATAGTGTATCGCTCCTTTAAAATCGCGTGATCCGAACATGACGTCATTTTCTCAGTAGTCACGGGTCACATGACAAACATTGCCTGTCGAAAAAGGTGATTGATTGTCAGATAGGCAAATTAATGTTGACAAGAATTGGGCGACCACTTTGGCTAATTCTTAGCGGAATTGCAAAAAGAATTAGGTCGGTTTCCTGTAGAAATCAATAGTGCCCTTGTATTAAATATGTAGTTAATTTTGAGGAAACGCGCTTTTTTGCCGCGGGTATGGCGGAAACCACTTGTTCGTAGTTGTTACGCAATTACCGAGTTGAGCGAATGGCCCGAGGGCACTTGACGTAGGAATGAAATTGTTCCGCTCTATGTAGCGTGTCCGGATTGTCATTTCAAATGGAAACATTTCAAAAATCCTGAATTGATAATAATTAGCTCAACGGGGCTAAACCAGCGCTGAAGTTGGTAGCGTTTCATTCATCTTTCGCCGTTCTTGTTTAGTGCAAACTTTGTTTCATTTTGTTGCAACGGTGTTGTTGCAGGTCGGTGGGATAATTTCCGTGATTGATATGCCCCCGGTTGACGAGAGCCTTTGGTGGAGAGGAAAGCAAGGATTTGAGGTACAGTAAGGTAGAAAATAATATACCGAGTTATAGAAATTTAACGCAATTGTTTCACCGAGTTGTAAGAGTTTTATAAAAGTCGCGCGAACAAGGAGAAAGCCCAACAAAGTAACCTGTCAGTTGTGAAGTCCTTCAACGAATTGATGTTATTCAGAGGGTTTCTCAACAAAAAGGATTTGTGGTCGATGTTGTTCGTTGTTTACAATGTTCAACTGAGTGTATAGATTGTTTCGTTGATCTTATGTATCTAAATATTTACACTGAAACGCTTAACTTTAATTCAATAGGATTATCGTAGTAAGTGTTTTTAATACTTGTGATCTCAGTGAAGTTCATAGTTTCAATAATTTCTCTCGATGATGAAGTTTTTGGTTGGTTGTTTTTTGATTGGATTTCGATTAACGATTCAGGGGGCAGCGTTAATTACAGCCAAGTAATGCCATTTTTGAAATGCCTTAGTGGTTAGCATCAACCCTCTCGTATGTAAGTGGTGTGTTGGTTTTCCAGCTTCAAGAATATTCTTGCTTTAGTTGGAAAAGTTATTGGACTTATTTGTGTTGGTTGCAGCTCTAAGAATTTCCTTTCTACATGGCTCTCTTCGTGTTATAGCTTAATATCCTTCATGGCCTGAATGATCTCATTTTAATCCTTGCGCCAGTCTCAAAATGTTATCTCACCCTACTGATCGTCATAGCTAACCTTGGTTGAAACAAACTTAGCTCTGGAGAGTTTGTAGTTTGTCAACGCAGCATCCTAGTGCTGATGAATTTCTCGATTCTTATCACCTGTGTGCTTGACAGTGTATTGGTAGCGTAAGGAGATTTTTGATTTTTATCACTGAATGCACTTTTGGGATGTTTTCAGGTTGGATTCTTTCCTAGTCAGTGTGTTGAAGTTATCGGTGACAAGACGGACGGTCAAGCATCGCTGCCCCGCCACACGGCAACCTCACACATGACACCAGGTTTGTTTACTTGTTTATAGTGTTTAACACTTGTTGGAGACACTTTCGTTGTGTGTGGTTTCCAATCCGAGAAATGACTCTTTTGTTCAACGTTCTGTCTGTCTGTCTGTCAAATATGACTCACCCTCGTTTATGTCTGTCTGTCTGTATGTATGCCAAATGCGACCCACCCTCGTTTATGTCTGTCTGTCTGACTGTATGTCAAATAAGACCCACCCTAATTTATGTCTGTCTGTCTGTCTGTCTGTCTGTCTCTGTGTCAAATGCGACCTACCCTCGCCTGAAAAGAAATGATTATAAATGTTATTTGTCCCCATTGTACACCCACCTCGCGCGTGAAACGCAGCGATTTAAAGCATCGAAGCTAAACTATGCAACACGCTAAACAGCTCTCGCTTGCACTGAAACCCTTACATCGTATTTTTAGGGGAAACGGAAGAACAATGTATCAAATAATATCAAAATGTTTATTTTCTTCTTTTCTTTAGTTGCCAAGAAGCGAGGGAAAATTGTGTCCTTTCTGCGATTGTTCCTGTCTTCTCGTCCTTCGAAGGCAAGGCTGATGCAAAGTGGTATCCTGAAGTAAGTCAGCTTATCTTGTGTGTACAGTTGCTGTTAGCGGGTTATGACACGTAAATGTTAGGATTGGTGTTATCCAATCAGATGAGAGTACGAACACCGGTGAGAAACCTGACATACCAGTAGGCGATGAGTTCAGCCACTTTTAAACTTTAAAAAGAAATGTTTGACTAGCATCCGATTTCACTCCGTAGTCTCCCTCCAAGAGGGAGCCTTGTAATTTTTTTTGATTAGGGATTTTGGTTGAGAAGGGTTTTAGTTTTCCCTACAGTAGTATTTTAACCCATCCAGCATTTCGACGGAAAACTGTCTAATTTACCTGTCCAATTAAACTGTACAATTGATGTACAATTATTTGTTTGTCCACCTGTTTGTTCTCAGGGAACGGACCTTTGGTTGTGACTTGGGCGAACATTTGGCAAAAACGAATAGCCAAGGTGAGGAATTATATTTTAATCATTGCATGTTGCACGGCTTTCTGTACATTAACATTGAAATGATTTTCTTGGTGAAAAAATGCAGTGGCGATCAGGCCTCTGTCTGAAGTATTGCGTTTCTCAAATCCTGTAGATTCACTTGAAAAGATGGAACCTTAATAGAACTCTTTGTTGTTGTTTTAGTTCCTTTGGTGTTAACAAAGTGCGCTGAAGTGATAGAGAAGAATGGTATCGTAGATGGAATTTACCGTCTATCCGGCATGTCTTCTAACATTCAGAAACTCAGGTAAGTATTCTACTCAATCTTCTAGTCCCAAGCTCAAATTTGAAATCTCCTTACGGAATGGTATCTATATATTTTACGGTGGTTGTGAGAGGAAGGTTGCTCATCAAGACGGCATGTCTTAGTTGGTAGTTTTTGTTTTTGTTGTTGTTGTTGTTTTTTTTTTTTAGTGAACATCTGACATCCTTGACATTGTGTTAATATTTTATGAGGAATGGCGATATTGCATACTCGTTATTAGCAAGAGTTTTATTTCCCAGGTTGGCATTTGACGGGGACGAGCCGCCTGACCTCCTAAAGGACTGCTATATCCGGGACATTCACTGTATCAGCTCTTTGCTCAAGATGTACTTCAGGTAAGGTCACATGAAGTTTCCTTTTCATGTCGGCGCAGAGTTGTGACTGCACGGTTATGCAAACTGTGTAGTTTTGGTTTTCGCATTTGCTAAGGAAACCAATGGAGTTGTTATTTCCAGAGTCAAAAAAACCAAATTTTTTTGTTCGCAGAGAGCTACCGAATCCACTACTGACGTATCATCTGTACGACAAGTTTGTGGTGAGTATAGCTTAATACACTCATCGTGACATATCCGGATGAAAAACTGTGACCAATTAACTTATTCATAGAAGCATCCAAATATCGAGGGATATTCCTTTTAAGTGTTCCGTCATCTTACCATTTCAGGCCGCCATCCAAATCACGAACGAATCAGAACGTCAAATAGCCATCCATCACGTGGTACAGCAGCTTCCGCCACCCCACTACAGAACACTAGAGTACCTGTTACGTCACTTGTCACATGTGGCCTCGTACTCGCCCCAGACCGGCATGCACGCCAAGAACCTTGCCATCGTGTGGTCACCAAACCTCTTGCGGCCGATGTCTCTGGACGGCGGAGGCGCGGCCCTTTTGCAGGTCAACGTACAAGCTGTTATAATAGAGTACCTTATAAGGAATGCGAACGTGTTTTTTGACGAACACGCGGCGGCGGCTGCGATTGTGGCGAACCCGCGTTACTCGTCCTCGTCGCTCGACAGACAGCGAAAGGTGGTCTCCGATTCAAGTAAGGATTCTTACTACGTTTTTTGTCACGTTGTGTTGTGTGTTGCGTTTTACAATGTGTGATGTGTGATGTAAGATGTGTAGTGTAATATGATATGTGTGATGTCACTTGCGTGACTTTCTAGGTATGCGGGGCAGTCTCGTCAGTATCTAATTTTTTTCAGTATAGGAATCGTGATTACAAGAAGCTAATTATTTTATGTTGAATGATGGTATAATTATAACTAAATAGAATAGAACATTCTGAGCCGATTACATCTGAATGATCTCTTGTTTTCATTACAGATATTGCCGGCGCTCCTTCCATTGGTCCAAGGATGGCGTCACTGTCCATTTCCCCGCCTACTAAACTAATATCACTGGAAGAAGCCCGGGCGCGGGCGCAGACAACGCCCTCGAAGCCCCCAGTAAGGCACGTAAGAGTCACGGCTGTGCCAGCACCCGAGCGATTTGAGCCCCCCATGTATCGGTCATCGGTTGAAGTTCCCGCGAGAAGGAAGTCGAGCGATGGGGGTGTTAGCGGACGCAAGTGGAAAAGCTTTTTCCAGAAGGGAAGGAACTTTGACGCTTCGCAGTCCGTGGCTAAGATTCAGGAGACGAGCCAAGGGACTTACGTTAGTGTCATGCGTGAGCCCCAACCACAACGTGAAACCGTGGAAGGAGTGCGCCAGACAAGAAGTGCGGAGAAACTCAATGAGGCGCCTAATGATACGGGACCGCGGCCTGTTAGGGCCAGACATATACGTATGGATGCTAAGCATGACACGAGGGAGATAAGAACTCCTGTTCACCAACCGGTCACAATATCGTTTAGCCACCAGCCCGCGCGGGAACGCTCACGGACTGTTGGCGAGATGCACATCAGAAGGCACCCGGTGTTGACTTCGTTCAAACGGGTGTCATCTGAACAGACTGTATTCTATACTAAAGTGGAATACCACCCGACGAAGGTCAATCATCGGAGAGCGTCGACCGGCGGCGAAGAGCTCGAGAGCTCCATGCGGAGGCGAGAAGTCCCGAGCTCCGAGCATCGCCCTGTGTCGGTATACGACAATCGCCCGATCTCGATATACGACAACGAACCGACAACGCATCGGTATTCTTCGCCGGTTTTCTCGCAGAATTACTGCACGATACCCGAAGAGAAGCACCGCTACTCGACACCAGTGAACATGACCACCCCTCCCATGAAGAAAACATCCAGGGGAAGGCTGTCAGACCAGCAGATTGCTATCACTGGGGCGAGGCTGGCGCAGACGTCTCTAGTGCCTTGCTCAAACAGCGGTAGGCCAATGCATTGAATGAATGACGTAATTTTGGTACAGTCGCGCGCTGAGAACGTGCTATTTTTCGCGGTCACGGCCAGGGTCCTGAGTTGACGGCGGTCGCGTGGTACTCAGCAAGCGGTTTGATATTGTGAAGAAGAATATTTAATTTGGAATGGTTCGTCTCTTCGCTGTCACAGTGCAAAGGGCTCTTCACTGGATTCTGTCGTGAGTAGACGCGGGGAAACTTAAGTAAATGTCTTAACCTTTGACATTTTCGGTGTTTAACATGCAATAACATGCCGCTCAATTTGTCAGATTTTCAAACTTTTGTTTTGCGGTTCTTATTAGTCTCATTCAAACGAGAGTGAAGGGTAGTTGAGTTAATCTCCCAGATAGGATTACCCGTCATCCTCTCTTGCCTCAACTTTGTTTCCAGGCTCTCTCATCTTCCCGCCCTACTGGAGCGAGAGAGGAGCGGGAAGAAGAGAGACCCTGGAACGAGGTTGTTATTGCTTCAGTTTTAAGCCATCTTAGAGAATCTCGTACCATTGCCCTTTCTCTTTGAAGTTAAATGTGAATGATGTAATTGCAGTTCTTGGAAAGAGAAATTACGCGAGAAATATCTTTTGGCTGGAACAACGCATTCATTTTGAAATTCTGTCGAAACATAGCGCAGTTTACTCTCAGACATACTACATTGCTGTACTTTGGCCTAACTCCACCGCTCTCCGCTCCGCCATATTTCAGTGAAAACAATCGGATGTAGACTTTTGATGCCGCTTCTATGAAGTACTAATCCCTTCAGGGACATGGGAAAATTACAATAAAGCTTTGTGTTACTGTCAATTTTATAATCTGAAATGACCGAGCACACACAAAGCCAGCAAAGCGAAGTAATTCAAGCGACAAAATTCTGAATTGCGAATATTTTTTAATTTATCACGAAAATATTTTTAAGTCTTTAAAGCGTGTTAATATAAATTTTAAATGTAAATATCTCAAGAGTTGGCGAAAATATTGTTTGTACTGAAGGTGAATTGTCTTGTTCCAGTAGAAAGGACGTAAATATAATGAGCCTTGTTGAATTGCTATGTGATTTTAGCTTACCCCTCCCCTCCCCTCCCCTTCCCTCTCAAATGCTGATCGCGTTTCTTATGAAAACGGTGAGCGTTTCCTGGCGCTTTAGTGTGGACAGTGCGCTCAACGCGTCAAAAGGCGCGTGTTTTTAAACGAAAACGCATACATCTAAAATGCCATCGAAAGCGACAGCGAAGGCTTTGTATTTTTCCATACCATATCAGCGTTTTCGAGCGTTTAAGTATGGACGGGGAAAAGCTCCGAAAACGGTAGTGTGAACGCGAAGCATTTAACTCGTTTTCGCTAAGTGCGTGGTTAAATGGGTAAACGGGCAGAGCGCCATTTTTTTTAACCAGTCAGTCTCATGAACGCTCTGGCTAACTTGAATAGCACTCCGGATAGCCTGAACGTCACTCCGCTTTGCCTAAATAGCTCTCCAATGAGCCGGTCCCCGTTAGTGGCCCCGTACTCTGTAGTTTAGCCCGAATGTGTTGCATTCGTAATACCGTTCGGTTTCATCTCCATATCTTCTGAAGCCGCAGACGGGGAATCAACAGTATATGGCTTTATACTACTATTCCGCGCGCGAAAAGGCGCGTGCAACTTTCCCGCGTGTCTCGGAAACAAATTCTTGAGTTGCTCTTCGATAGCTTTGATTTGTTCCTCGCCTTTCTTGTCTTTGTGCTTCTCGAACAAACTTTCGATCAGCTGTTCAGCATCTGCCTCTGCAAGTGGTTTGATTTTGTCGTTGAAAAGAGTCACGGCTTTCTCTGCTTCGTATTCTTGGAAAGCATACTTCCCTTGTAGTTTCGGGTCAACTGGTAAACACAAGCGATAAACCGTGACGAAGACTGTGGAGACAATAACAAGTCCGAGAATCAAGCCCCATGCGATAAACTGCGACGCAGTCTTCGCTTGAGAGAATTCTTTATTCACGGCATCTTTCAGGGCGGTTGTGGTTGCCTTGGCAAGTGCTGTATCCAGAGGTCC